TTGTGGAATGAGGCTGTGCTTTTTGGCCACAGCTCTTGTAATCTCCTTACTGGGATGAGGCACTTGTTATTCTGGACTGGACCTGGATCCCATTCACATTAAAGCTCCCTTATGCAATGTAAAAGCACCTTTAAGCTGGCATACATACTGTGATAAAATAAGCAGTTCAAGGCTCTTCCACAGCACTGTAAAGATGCTAAGTAAAAATGAGAAATCAACCCTGTCTGAATTAAGCTCCCCTGGGAGACAGGCAAACACTTTTTTCTCACTGAGAGGAAAACTGAGGCACAAAGACATTTAGTCCACATGTTTGGGTTGGCACAGGATGTCAGTAGGAACTTGGCACTAGATATCTGTGCTGCTGCCCTTTGTTCTGTGCTGCACTAATTGCTCACTGAGGGGAAAGCTGGGAGTTGAACAAAAAAAATTTGGGGAAGATGTGCTCTATTTTTTTGAAACAGTATTTGGAAGTCAGGTTCCTGTTGCAGCACTAACAATTGGGGATTGGTCAAGAATTTTTCAGCAAAAGACCTTTTCCTCCCCTTGTGATGAATGCTTGTTCACTAAAACTGAAGCTTTTTGTGGGAACTCCATGGGAAAAGTTTCTCTGGTCCAGACAGAATTTCTGTTCAAAAGAAATGAGGGAGGGAAAGAGAAGGAAATCTGCCCTGCCTGGCATGGCCTGTAGCTTTGGGGTTAGGCTATTCATATAGGTTCATTGGGGCTGGGCAGAAGCACAGAGGAAGAAGACTAGATCCTCTCTTTTGCCCAGTTTGGAAGAAGAAATGCTGTCTCAAGGATGTAGAGAACTCTCCAGGGTGTTTGATTTTGGTGTCACCATGTCCCTCTTCTTTTAATTAAAAAAAAAATTGTGGGTGCAGAAGAGCAATATTCAAAAAAATAATCTACTGTGGTTTGATGGCATATCTTCCTTATGTCCCACCCAAATCATCCACAGCATCCTCACAGCCCCAGTGAATCATGCTTGGTCCTTTGGCTCTCATTAGCAGTGAGAGTTATATGTCAGGAGAGCAGCTGGAGGAGGCTGCCTTGTCCCCAGAGCAGCATGTTGGCTGCATCTAGCTCTGCAAGCTGAGCACGAGAACTTTTAAGCACAAGCCTTTGGCTAGGTGCTGCTAGACACCCTCTCTTTGTAGAGTACACAAACAGCTTTGTAGAGTACACAAACCCCCCCATCTCTTTAATAACCATATAGTTTATTAGACAGTCAGATGAGTCTTTTACCTCATCCATCACTTTTATTTTTATTATGCAAACACTAGATGTATGTTTGAATGTGTGTACTTAAGGGACTAGGAATGAGAGACCTTTTTATGAATCTGACCATGTATTTCTCAGAAGGCCATTACTAAGGGGAAAATTGTTGCAGAAATAATGTGCAACTGCAGATGTCCAAGCTGTGTTTTCTTGCAATACCTCATGGCTTCAGAGGCAATTCTTTAAAAATATGTTTTAATGAGTGTTACAAGCAGCCAAGAGTAAGAAGGAACAAACAGTTAGATTTTAGAGCTGAGCAGTTAAGGTAAAATGGATATTTCTGCCAGTGATTCTCTGCTTTGTGTACGTGCATACATTCCCTAATATTTTTTTTACTGTCGTTGGATCTTTTGTAAGGTTTGCTGTCTTACAAAGGTTTTGCTCCCCAGCAAAAGCAAGTTGGCAAGTGTTACTTAGTTTCTTTGGTGATGGTTCTCTTCAGAAAAAACAGAGATGGCAGAAAACAGCTGAATGTGACAGCGCCTTTAAAATAAAGAAGTAAATGCATGTAATATTATTTTTTGTCCTAGGAAGACTGTGTTCACCTTGCTGTCTTAAATATTCTTTCTCTAAATGCTTAGTTTAGGGAAAGAAGGAAAACCTTTCTTTATCTTTCTGTGCCTGCAACTCCCATTAACAGGGAATAGGCTTTTAAGTACCCTGTGAGTATAATAAATATATGCTACTTCCTAAGATGACAGCCTAATTTCATACCTGGAATAAAACTTTCTAACTTGGCCATAGGCTTTCACTATTCTCCATGAATGTGGCCTTGGCAACAACAGCGCAATTTCCAGTAAGCAGTTTGACTGGAACAGGCAGTCTTCAGTGTCCTGGAGCTGGGATAGCATTTGATGGTCCCTTCGTTGCTCACGAGACCATCTTTCAGGGTGACAGTGCATGCAGTTCAGGCCAAGTCCCATACTAGGGAAGCTGATGGTATGGATTTCCCTGCTGATTTTGCTGGCTTTTGAATACCCCAACTGTTAATACTCGTGTTTATTTTTTAAGGGAATTAAGTGCTGTTAGAGTGGTAGCCTGGAGGAAAGAGCTTCTCCAGGGGCTACTATTAGTTAATACATTCTGCTTTCTAGACAGATGTCACTGAAGGAACTTTCCACAAGGCTGTTTGCTATTTCCACAATGTGTTTGCTATTCTGATCTCCTCTAGCTCGGGGAAGGTATGGTGGATCTGGAAAGGGTTCAGAGAAGAGCTGTCAGCTGGGACACTTTGGCATGTAAGAGATGAAGCAGAAATCTGTAATGCAGGGAGGAACTTTGCTAGCAGCTTCTTCTAGATGTATACTAGAAATGAGAAAAGTGTGATCTCCCTGCTATTTCAATTGTACTGCATCATTTGCTAATGATGGGCCACTGAATTCTGGTGACAGTGGAAGAGTTTGCGTCATGATATCTATTTGATATCAACTGAACAAAGGCTTTAAGATTTGTTTCACTCAGCCTTTAAACACCGTTCAAACAGAAACAGCTACCAGTTAGTTATGTATTCTGATAGTAAATGTTGTGACTATTCAATTCCCCCAAATTTCTGTGTAATATGTGCAGAAAGATTTTTTCCATTTTTTTTAATGGCATAGCACAAATGTGTGTTTATGTACATTTATTCTGTGTAATTTGCATACCTAACTGCAAATGTATATAAAATAAGATCCTAATTCATTAAAGATATTTATTATTTTTTCTTGATTTTAATAAAAGTAGCATATTTCTCTGTTCTGACAAACAAAGAAAACCCACCGTATTTTGTTTGAGTAATTTTACTGCTAGTTTTGCAAGACTGAAAGGACTTGAGAAATCTTGTTTTGACTTTGTGCACTCAAGAAGCTTTGGGGATTTAGATAGAAAAATTCCTGGAATGTAGTTCTTTTTAGCAGAAGTTTTTTTCTTTTACTTATAATATAAAGATGATATGGAATTTTGCCCCTGTTTTTTTGCTTCCCCAAGCTGCATGAATGGTTCACCTCACCTGATGGCCAAGGTGTGAACTGGTGTTGGCAGACTGTGGGTAAGAGGGGGCCTCTCTGATGTAAGTGGTTTGTTAGAGAGCCTGCAAGCCTCTCACTCAATGACTTCTCTGTCCACATACAGCTTGGGAACAGTTGCGGGGTCTTTTTTTTTTTTTTCAGATGTGAAAGTCTGTCAGCAAAGTGAAGTCAGCTTAAATATCAGCTGAGGCTTGAGCTCTCCTTCAGTTTTTGTTGACTTTATCCCCTCCTGCTCCTTCCTGGTCAAGTTTTTCTCTGCTTGAGTCAGACTTGCCGACACTTCAAAGTTTTTATTCTGTGTTTTGAATGTATGGGTTTATGTGTGGCAAAGTTCAGGTTGCCCTTCACGTTCCCAGCCTCGACAGTGATCTGAAATGCTGAGGAGAATTGAGGCCATTTTGGGTTTCAAGACTCTTTCAGCTGCTACAGTTCAATTTCAACCGGTAGAAGTTCTTCTGGTACCCAAGCATGCTGTACTGAGGTGACGCTGTGTGGACCTGCTGGAGTTTTTTGTTGTACCTGCTGCTACCAAGCTGTGGAATTCTAGCTGTGAATTGGTACCCCTTCTGCTCCCCAAATATGGAACAAGAATTACTCTCTACACCATAATTTATCAGCAGAATATTAGACATATCTGATGGTGTACAGACAGGCAGGCAAAAAACAAGCAAAGAGTGAGTGTGTGTTAGTTGTATGCTGAGCCAGACCTGGGAGCAGGATGCTGAGGTCATGCCAGGTCTGCTGGCTGGTGGTGCAAACATCCAAAGATTTGGGATGGACCTGTGGTGTCATTGCTGGTCCATGTTGAAGAATTTTCTGAATTTAAAGCTTGAGGGAGTTCTTGCCTGTGGCAAGGAGTTATGGGTCTTGTGCCTTATGTATAAAAAGAAAAGAAAAAACACAGTAAACTGCAAGGGAAAGGAAGGCTAGGGAAGAAGAGGACACTTCTGGGCTTCTCCTGTTCTTTGGTTCATGCCAAAGAACTACCTCTCTACTCTGTTCTCTGATGTCTTTGGAAATACCCTTTTCTGTGTAATAAGTTATTAAGGCACTGGCCCTTACCTACCCCTTGGTAGGAAGCAGTGTTGGGTGCCCTTTGTTTTCCAGGGTGGGAAGGTGATGGCAGTGTGGGCAGAACTGTTCCCATTCTGTTCCCTGCTGAGGTGTGTGGAGGTGCTGTCTGCACTGGATAAGGAGGTGTTAAAATAATAGCATAATAACATAATAGCATTTCTCCAACATGATCCCAAGAGGAGCAGGTTGAGAGAGAAGAGTGTGGGGAAGGGCAGGGTGTTTGCCTTCTTTTTTTAACTGGAAAATACAAGTCACAATTTAGGATCCATCAGTTTGCGAAAACATAATCTGGGAAATGCTCGCTTCATGGCTGCAGTAATAGTGAATTATTGTTATCTGATAGTTGAGTTCTTGAACCCAAGTGATCAGGATGAGTTTTTCCTGCTGATGAGTTCTGACGTGCTGGGCACATGGCAGTCAATGTCTATAATCCATAATCTTGTGTCACAGATAAATGTAGGAGAAAGCTCTCAACACAGAAGGCTCTGAGTTCCTGGGGATGTAGACATACTGGTGTTTGATGAGAAGGAAACAGGCACAAAGGGCTCCTGATGTGAAGAATACCTATATCTTGCTGAGCAGAGGAAAGTGATCTTGATTTGGATTTTTTCCTCACTCCCTCCAACCTCCCCTGTCTTTCAGAGAAAGTTCACTCCTGCGACCAGGAAAGGCAGAGCGCCCTGGAGGAGGCCAGGCAGAATCCCCGCGAGGGTATTGTCATCCCTGAGTGTGCTCCTGGAGGACTCTACAAACCAGTGCAATGCCACCAGTCTACTGGGTACTGCTGGTGTGTCCTGGTGGACACGGGACGTCCCCTGCCTGGTACTTCCACTCGGTAAGAGCCATCAGCAGGCCTAGTGAGGTGCTGGAGAAGATAAGATATATAAAAAACCTCAACCTATTGCAGTATCAAACCAGTTACTCACTCTGCACTACCTTCCTTAAGAGCTAGCAATGCCATATATGTGATGTTCCCCGTTGAGTTTTTCTATGCAGCTTCCTCTCCATAGGAGTTGGTGGGTAGAAACTACTGTCCTTACTTTTCTCTGTATTAAGTACTCATGCAAAACAGCCTTCTTTGTTTTGTGATTTGAAGCTTTTGGGAGGTGTCAGGAATTGATGCTTTGCTTCAGTACAGATTATAGGCAAGAACAGTGAAAAGGCTCTGCACTAGTGGCTTTGCATTATCATCTGCTTTTTAATTCCATGCTGTAGCCACTTGAATCCTGACCAGTATGGATTTAGAAGAATGCTTGGTTATGAATCGGTAAATTTTAAGCAAGTGATAGATTTTTTTTCCAGTTATCTGTATCTTAAAACTACCTGGGGAATCTTTTCTCACTTGGGTTTTGGAAACAAACGGTGGGTCAGGCAAGCTGTAAAAACAGGCCAGTAGGAGCTGGGACCTAAACTCTGATAGATACAGTGATTCTGCAGAGCATGAACAACTTTGAAGAAAATATCAGCCTATGCCCACAAGGAATGGAAGAGGGCCTTGAGATCTTCATGAGTTTCAGTTGGTAGCTGGTACTGGACTTCAAAGTATGTTCTTCCTTCCCTTTCCACTTCTGCTGCTGTTGCTGACTGTCCATAAACAGACAGATCCTTGAGAATCGTATTTCTTCTGCAGGTTTATTGGTTTCCCCTGCAGGAAGCAGATAAGGCACAATCCGCTGGTGACCATGTGATATCATTAAAGCTGTGTCACATAGTTCAGCTTGTGCTCTTCTCCATTTTCAGCTATGAGACTCCAGTGTGTGAAAGTGATGCCAGATCGAAGAGCACAGAGGTGGATGATCCATTCAAGGACAGAGAACTTCCAGGTCAGAGAAACAAGATCCTGTCTCTCCCTTCTTACCTTGTCTTACCTTGGGACTCTTAAGAGACCAAGAATATTGTTGAGGAGATGGGGGACTTTCCTCATGCATGCTTTACCATGGGGTTTATTCTGTGTTATTTTGGATTATCTCCTGTTTCAGCAGTAAGCTGGAAAAGCCTGGGAGTGTCCTGGAGGGCCTGTTTATTGCCTGTCTGCCAATTTGAAAATGTGTCTGTTTGAAAACATGTCTGCTATCAGAATTTTCAGGAAAGAAACCTAGATGCCAAAAAAGGTTGGGAGAAGAATGGGCTCAGCATTGAATGTTCTTCAGATTCAGACCAGGACAGGACCCTTTCCATTTAGCAGGGCTTTTCAGCAACTTGGTGCCCCTTGAGTAATGAAAGAGGACACAATTGGCAATTGTTAGTGGACTGACTTGGCTCCCTGACACTGCATGGACCAGGCAGGACAACGTTCCTGGTGCACTAAAGTCCCTTAGCTAATGATGGCTTCTCACTTAGCTGGTCTTTATCCCTCATTTTATGCCTGGGTTGCACTTTATTTCCCAATGCTTCTTGTTTTCTATTCTGCTTTTCCCTGATAAGCCATAATTTACTGCTTGCCCACTTTTTTTCTGCTATGAACATTTGATGGGCATAGCTGTCTGTGTGGCTCTTAAAAATGCTATCCCACCTGCCTGTGTTCTGGTTTTTCCTTCCTACTGCCTTTCTAAGGAGCAGAGTGAGGGGGTCCTCACTGACATTGAGTCAACCATTGCTCTCCTGGATGGGGACTGCTTGAAAATAGAAGCTACAGTGGGTCCCTTCTCCATCATGAGGGAGTGGTGGAGACCAATAAGTCTGCAGAAAAAGCTTTTATCTCTGGATCAGCTTTACTTTCTGCTAGTCCTCTCTTTGGCTAGCATAAAATGAGTTGTTCCTGAGCAGGTTAGAAAAGGAAATGAGATTTGTACCAGATCTACCTTCTGTGTCTTCTGAGCCTCTTCCTGCTGGCCCCTGACCTCGGACCCTAGAGCTTTCTGCTTAGCAACTCTGCCCTCAGCAGGACTCTCTCCTGTGCAGCTCCTCATTTTCACAAGTCATGTAGAAATTTCTATCTGCCTCTCTCTCTCACATTCAAAGGAAACTGACCAGTTGGTTCAAGTTGGATGATAGGGGGAGGGGAACCAGCTAAATGATTGCATTAAGGCTCATTTCCTTAGGAAATCACACTGAAATAGAATAACCTTACTTCCTTGAACTCCCCATCCCCTTCTCCCATTGCTTTACTGCCTATCCTTGCACTTCATCCCTGCCTCTCTAGAGCTCCTCTGTCAAACTCCTTTGCTCATAGGCTTTTTCTTTGAGACTCTATTGCCGACCTCAGACAGAATGGTTTGATTTCCCTTCTCCCTTCCATTCTCCGCTGAAGCCAGACAAGGGGACAGGAACTGCTTGATGCAGAAGAAGACACGGGATGCTCTGTATCTTAGTGGTCTGGTTCCAGTATTAGACTGCAGGAGAGTTGCCCTCTCAGCTCAAGCCACTTTTCTGTGCCTGAGGAAACTTGAAGTTCTGCATTTGGCTGCATTGGTTGGCATGATTGTTGCCCAGAGAAGTTTTAGATGTTCCAGCCCTGGAAGTGTTCAAAATCAGGTTGGGTGGGGTCCTGAGCAACCTGATCTGACAAATGGCCCATGGCAAGGGGGTTGGAACTAGATGATCTTTAAGGTCCCTTGCAACCCTAACCACATGCTGTGATTCTGTGATGATTCCTGTCACTGAAAACACCCATCTATGGAGAGATAAGGAGATCGAGGATCTGATCCTGGTTCGTCTGCCTGAGAGATGCTGTGCTACATGATCTTTTTTATGCAGTCTTGAGGTTTGTTTGATTAACTGCCCTTGTATGCAAAAATTCAGAACTGTAGAGAGAATGTTTCTTTTTGGTTTTTTTTCTACTCTTATTTCTTAGCAGAACAGAATTTTAAGAAAAATCCCTGCTTTATTTGAGACTGATTGTTCCATTTGTATGTAGTTCTGTCGGAGGACCCCTTACGTTATTCCTCTTCTGGAGGTTTTACCATTCTTTAGTCTCAGTGCTGCAGGCAGTGTGCTCCTTGGCCTGTGTGGAGAGACCTTGCAGAGGCCAAGGTGAAGGAGACATAAATTCAGATTCTTGCACATGTACACATACCCTGTTCACAAACTGTCATGACTGTGGCCAGAAGAAAAAAATAAAGAAGGAAGGAAAAAGTTGCTTGTACATAGCAAATGGCAAGCTGCTAATTCCTGCAGATTGTGAGATGCTGTGACCCCAGGGAGATGAATTCCAGCAAGTAGTTTTTCATCCTTTTCATTACCTCAACAGAAAGCTCCTTTAAGTGAGTGGTCTACTCTGGCTGCAATAGCATTTTACCCATTACAATGCTGACATTTTCTGGACCATGTGCCAAACAAGTGCTGAGGGGTGTGAGTGTGTGTAATGTACATAATACGCAGACAGGCAAAGGACTATTGCTTAGCTATTGCAGAGGACAGAGCCTGTAACACTGCAAAGGAGGGAGTTTTTGTCAGATCAGTTTGCAAGCTGCTTTCAGCTGTCAAGGGATGACAGTAAGTTTCTGGTGCTCTCTTTGGGGTACATGTGCTTCTCTCTTGTTCAAGAAAAGCAGAAAGTGTTGACACTTCTATATGTTGCTGTGGGAGGCTGTTTTCTGATGTCTGCTGCCTTAAGCAGCTGAATAATTGGTGTAGTGCATGGTGGTTTGGGGAAAGAGGTGAGGGATGTAGTTATGGCTTCTCTATCACATCAGGAGAAGACAATAGGATGAGAGGGTGGTGGGTTTTGGACAATAGTTTCTAAGGTGGTGGGTTGAAGTTAAGCATGCTTGTTCTGTGGTAGGCTAGAGCAATTGTTACAGTATTCATTGAGGTGGTAATAAATGAAGCACACTTTAAGAAGCAAGGAAACAGCATAGATTGCTTTTCAAAGGTAAGGAGATGGAGAGTTTCATCATAACAGACTGGCACTGTTTAGGATAGGAGGTTCTGTCAGTCTGTGGTTAAGATGGTGGGGAGCCAGGCAGCCTCAGCACTAAGTAATGGAAATGGTTACCGAGCTCATCTTCAACCTGCTTTGTCCTGCTTAAGCCAGCAGTGACTGGGGGTGACTACCACATATTGACTCAGATTAACATATTTCCTGTGAGTGTGATCATGCAAAGAACTGAATTATTGTGATAGGTGCTGGTAGGCAGTGCTCTCTGTGCCTGAAGACGAGAGTGCAAGCGGCAGAGCTTGCTTTGTGCTCTGTGATACTTTAAGCATGTATGTTTAAAATATTTTTATCATACTTTTAACATGTCAGTTAGGACCTCAGAACAACCATGTTTGCATTGCAAGATGACCCAGGAGGTAGTGAGTTGTTTTGTAAACTTCTCTGCAAGTGTCATCATGGGAACTCCTGTCTGCCAGGTGCTTTGAGCAAGCACATCCCTGTGGTTTTGCTGGTAGAGAACTGGATGAGACCATAAAGCTAACCACATAGTCTTCCTGCCAGATATTGCTGATGACCCTGCATGTGCCTGGACAAAAGCTGCAGGACAAATTGCCAGGCAGAGAATCCTACTGAGGGATTCTTCTACCTTTCCTTAGGGACTATGTTGGTGACTGCCATCTTAAAAACAATAGTGGTTCTGGGTGATCTTTGCTGAATTGGGGTAGGAGACCAAGCCTGTGTGTTCTTGCATTAAATCTCCTCTTTTCTTTTTGCAGGCTGCCCAGAAGGGAAGAAAGTTGAATTTATTACCAGCTTACTTGATGCTCTGACGACAGACATGGTACAGGCTATTAACTCAGCAGCACCTACTGGGGGTGGGAGGTGAGTCCAGAAAGCACTCTGGTTGAATGCCACCCAGGTGATTGCAGAGGTCTGGGTGTCCCTGAGGTGGGGGCAGGAGGGTAAGGTGTTGCTCTGACTGATTTGGGTTCCTCTGGGTTGCTGGGAGAGGATCTGAGGCTGAATCTTCAGAGGCTGCTTTGTCCTGTCATCCTAGCACTGCCTGCCTCCTCCCGCCCCTCCTCCCTGGCAGCTGCTCCACCATAAAGGTTAGTATAGACCATTTGAAGTGTGAAATGAGAGCTCAGTGGGAGGAAGTGGCTTGTTCTTTTGTCCCTTGGTGCATGAAAAGACCTAATAAAATGCAAATGGATTGAAGGAGACCGTGTGGCCTAGTGGCTAGCACAGGGATTGAAGAATGTGAACTGAATTCTTGGCAGTACCAGTGCTGTGGTTTTGCTGTGAGGCTGCAGCCAGCCGCCGATGAGGAGAGGAGCTATTTTTTATGGCCCTTCCCTCTGACCAGCTGCCTGTCCACCCCTTTTGGAAGGAGCAACATGTCAGGCCTGTTGAAAGAGGTGGACACAACTCTGTTTCTGGGGAACTGCTGGAAATCTGAGGCTGTGTCTCCCCCTCCTGCTTTATAACAGCAGATCCCTTCAGCTCAGCAGCTTCAGTGCTGCATTGGGACAGGCCACTAAGAATGAACTGTGATGGATTTAAGAAGTGCAGCATTGGCTAGGCAAGGCTTCTATGGTTCTGGATTCGCCTGACTATAAAAGGAGCGAGTATTAGTTTAGCATGCAGGGATGCCGAAATGACTAATGTGCTTATGTTCATAGGGGTGTAGAGATGAAGGTGCCTCTGTGCATATGTTACTTCTGTGGGTATTGCTCCAATATGTTGAGAGTAATGTTGATCCCCTGCTTTCCTCTTTCATAATAGAAAAGGAATCAGTGCCATCTTTAACTGTTTGAGGTCCTGGGTGGTACCTCTTTGTCCCTCAGCTTCATTATGGATTGCTTGTGAACTCATATGGGTTTAACTTTGCCTTTGGACCTTAGAAAACAGGCCAGTGACTGAGTGCCTGCATGCTGAATATTCTGTAACATGTCTAATTAGCAGTATATGCCTAGCATGTCTGTATTCATATAAACAAGATGAAAAATGCCCCAAGGATGGGAAATACATCGTTCTCTCCCAGACTTAAGCATTCCAATTCAATTCTGTCTAATTTGCGTGGTTAAAATGCAATGGGGAAGGGTGGTGGGAAGCCCTGGAGAGTACATGATATTTATTTGGCATCTTTGGCACTGGGACTGAAACACAGCCAATGTAAATCATCACTCTTAAAATAAAGCTTAATATAAACCAATGTTGTAGAGACCAGAGATGTATGCCCCCTCTGCACTTCTATAAACCAACAGGCTTGCTTCCTAATGTTCCTTAAGCTTTGTGTAATTTTCAGCTTTCAATAGAGGCCTTTCTGGTGGAATTTTTCACTGCCCAGGTCTTCGCATAGTCGTCATGTTGATTTATTTTCCACTCCAATGTCAGCAGCCCAGTTGTGAGGGGAAAATTAAATCTTTGAGCAGGCTGTCCTTGGAAAGGTGAAAGACTGCCACTACCCAAATATTCTGCATGCCCACTACCATGATTAAATTCGGATAACTGCTTTGGTGTAACTTTCCATGTGCATCAGCTAGGCTAAGCATGTACACGTCAAGCTTTTCCAACCCAACATGCCATGATGGAACCATTTGTTTTTTAAAAGTAATTTCAAGGATTTTTTGGTACTTGTATAAAAATTTAATTGATACATATTTCATTTCATATGGCTTTGCGGAGTTGGGAAGCTGCCTTTCTGCAGTGAGTCCTGCTTTCTAAGAGTCCCAAGGGAAGGAATATCCTGAGCCCTCACTTCAGAAATTTGCTTATGGTGTACTCTTTGCTGGGTAAAAACTAGTGGGATGGCCAGGCCCAGAGAGTGGCTGGTGGCCAGTGACAAGTGGTGTTCCTTAGGGCTCAGTATTGAATAAAAATTAATTAAAATATTAAACCCTATTTAATATCTTCATCAGTAACCTGGATAAGGGGATTGAGTCCTCCCTCAGCAAGTCCACAGATGACACCATGCTGGGTGGGAGCGTTGATCTGCTGGAGGGTAGGAAGGCTCTGCAGAGGGATCTGGCAGGCTGAATCAATGGGCTGAGGCCACTTGTATGAGGTGCAGTAAGGTGAAGTGCCAGATCCTGCACTTTGGTCACGACAATCCCATGCAGTGATACAGGCTTGGGGAGGAGTGGCTAGAAAGCTGCCCTGAGGAAAAGGACCTGTGAGTGGTGGTCAAGAGCCAGCTGAACGTGATCCAGCAGTATGCCTAGGTGTCCAAGAAGGCCAGTGGCATCCTGGCCTGTATCAAGCAATGCTGTGGCCAGCAGGACCAGGGAAGTGATTGTCGTCCTGTACGTGGCACTGCTGAGGCCACACCTCGAGTACTGTGTTCATTTCTGGGCCCCTTGCTATGAGAAAGACATTGAGGTTCTGGAGTGTGTCCAGAGAAAGGTAGTGAAGCTGGTGAAGGGTCTGGAGAGTAAGTCATATGAGAGGCAGCTGAGGGGCCTGGCAGTGTTTAGCCTGGATAAAAAGGAGACTGAGGAGAGACCTTTCAGGAGCTTGTAGAGGGGTGTGGGTCAGTCTCTTCTCCCAGGTGACAGGAAGAGAGGAAATGGCCTCAAGTTGTGTCAGGGGAGGTTTAGATTAGATATTAGGAAAAACTTTTTAACAGAAATGGTTGTAAAGCATTGGAACAAAGGCTGCCCAGGGAAGTGGTGTAGTGACCATCCCTGGAAGTGTTCAAAAACCATGTGGATATGGAAGTCAAAGACATGGTTTAGCGGTGAATGTGGTGGTGATGGTAGGTTGACAGTTGGACTTTATGATCTTGGAGGTCTTTTTCAACCTTAACAATTCCATGATTCTTTGTATATCTGAAATTGTCTAGTGTGACTAACTTGACTTTGGCACTGGAAATGAAAGCTCTTTTCCAAGCTGAAGGGATATTTTACCTATTGGGTTAATTGTATATTTAATTAATTTCCACCTGTAACAACTAACCAAATACTGTATTTATGACAGTGCTTATCCTGTATCTCCCTGGCCTAGATTTACTGAAAATTCTTGTTGAAAAGAAAAGCTAAAGATGTGACTATCTGATTGTTCTTAATATCAGTCATGTCAGTTTTAACATCTTAATGTAATTTTCCTTATTTGTGAGGCAAGCTTCACTTTTGCAAGCTCTTCTCCATCTTCCCCATAATGATGGCAGAACAGCTTCTGTATTTAAACATGCACTGGTTCCCTCTGTAGCCTCCCTCTTTCTGCTCCTTTATGGTGCTCAGCTTTTTATTCTCCTGGGCCTTTTTTTAGGTTTTGAACAAGTCCATCCAATTATCCAAAGTAAATTTTTAACATATTGTCAGCAAAGCTTATGTTACAGGGGGCAGACCAGGCAAACACCAAGCTATACCCCCATATCAACTGGGCCCATGTATTGTCCTATGTATTTTAATCAGAGAAGCCACATGTACAAGTTTTAGGGTAGGTGAGGGAGTATTTCTGTTTCTACGTGGCAACAGAAAGATGATACAAGCATACAATATGCATCTTTATGCATCAATGTTAAAATATAGGACCAAACACAGAGAACAGCCTTTCCAAAGTGTCAAGGACTGAAAAAGCTTAACAGTGAAAGTTTTAAGGAGCTCAGCCTTCCTCAGAGTATTAAGAGAAACAAAAAAAGAGGTTGAAAGATTTTATATAATCTGAGTATCTCCACAGGGACAAAGACTCTCCAGACTCTTTAATCTATCAGGGAAGAACATGATTAACTGAATATAAACAAACTCGTGATCAAAATTTCTTTAAAGTGAGGGCAAATCTAATTCAGAATGAAGTCATAAGGGAGGTGACTGATTCCCTCTCTCTAAGGCTTTTATCTTAGGTCTGTTGTGTTTCAGAAAGACTTGCTTTAGTCAAACTGGAGTTATGGTCCTAAGAATAATTTAATTCACATTCTGTGAGTATGATATACAGGAAATCAGATTAGATTACCCTGCTGCCTTCAGTCTGAATCTGGATATGTGAGTGAAAACTTCCTGTGTTTGCTGTCTTCAAGACTTTACCTGTTTATAATGCAAAGCTGTCTATGGCTTTGCAATTAATATTAGCACTTTTTTTTTTTTTTTTTTTTTTTGGAGTGGTGGGGGGAGGGAGTGAGGGCAGAGCATGAGGAGAAATTAGAGATCTGCTTTTAAAATACTACATAGAGCTGTGCTAAATTGCATCCAAAAACAATCTAGTAGCAGCAAAGTGAGGCAGTACCACTTGGATTCCTGCAGGCCATGTAAATAAAACCTGATAAGACTTTTTTTTCTAATGGGGCATGCTTAAAACAACCTTGTAATCCCTTATAGGTCTTGTCTTGTTTAAGAAAGTTCAAAGCTATTGACTTTAATTGAGTTACTCTTGCTTTACAATAATGTAAATGAGAGGAGAACTTGCCTTCCTCGTGGCCCAGGTTTATATTACAGCATAATAGCCACGTAGACTTCATTTAGAGTTTTGAAACAGAAAATCTCTGGTAAAATTCATTCTTAATTTTAAGTTTATGTAATAACTCTATGGCACATCTTGTTACTGTATGTTTTCAAAGTAATTAAGGGAGCACTTTTAGGAAATTGGTTTATTAACCAGTGTTTGGTATCCATATTGAAAAGAAGCATTGTTGAAACTGTTCACATGTAAACAGCATGTAATAGGTGCAGCACTTAAAAGATTTATACTTCGCTTTAGTACATTTTAGTCAATGTTCGAATTCTGATATATTCATATTATACAGGGCCTAAACTAAACTAGATCAAAGGGAATCCCAGCATGGGTTTCCCTTATCTGAGAAATTCTCTTTGGTCCCTACCAATTCAAAAATGAGTTTTAGTTGCCAAAATATATACACTATGGCTTGCTACATTATCAGCAAAAAT